AGGAGGTCAAAATACCCCAGGAGACAACATTTGAGCCAAATCTGTCCACGGAGAAAAAAGTCGGTCAAAAATGGCTCAATTCTGGATGGTTGGGGCAGTAAAGGGTAAATAGTGCCAATATAAAGCTGATGTGCAGCATCAAAGGCACAGTCCGCGAAGATAATGTGGGTGGAGTCAGGCCTATCCATGTGCTTTCTCGTTTGCGCGCCTCTACCTGTATTAGGAAGGGGAAGTGGATCAATGGCGAAGGCTGAAGGCGACTTTGTCCACGCAACCGAGTGGAGGGTGTTCTTGAGAGCCGGAGAATATTCTTTACAAAACAAGCTTCCTTTAGTTGTGAAACGCTTCCTATTCGGTATTGCCTGTTGTAGGTGAAAGTGCTTGGCTACATCTTGGTTTGATCGCTCACATGGTCCGCTTTGCCCGTGATTTGTTCGCTAATGTACAGTATGCTCAATCAGCTGTCTCAACGTATCCGTCTGGCACGATGGGATATCTGATCTGCTCGAAATCGGTGTGTTGTCATGTGATGCATAGTTTCGTTTCTTCTTTCTTTTCCTGCATGCTTTTGGTTTGGGAGCTTTCATTCAAGTCCATTACTGGCAGAACAATCGCATCATAAGCTCACTATGAACATCATATAGTCGGCATTAGAGACGCAAAGGGTGCGTTCGTACTTAGCGGCAGCGTCTACCAGCGTCCATCAGCGTCCACCTGCGTCTGCCAGCGGCCATCAGCGTCTCGAGGGACTAGGAAAGTATGGATATCGATCTAGCGTCTACCAGCGTCCACCAGCGACCAGGAGTAGAGAGTATGGAAAAGTAGGAGGGTAGCAGACTGCTGGTAGAGTATGGGGAAGTAGGAGGAAGGAGACAGCTGGATTAGGCGTCGTGAAATTGTGGCGTGTGCAGTCGCACCGTACTACTACTACTAAACACACCGTACTTCCTGGAAGCTGGTAGACGCTGGATTGATATCCTTGCTCTCCTAGTCCCTAGACGCCGGCGGACGCTGATGGACGCTAGTTGCCGCAAAGTCAGAGTTTGATGGTGCGATTGCATATGTTCTAAACGTGGACTTGATAGTCTGAATCTAGCTAGTTGAATTGTGTCAATGTCCATAACCTGAGTTGATTCAAGAACCGTGACGTGACAACTCCATCACGAATTTTGACGGAAGATGACATCACGAGAATGAATCTACGATACTACAACTCTGAGGTGCATTCTGCCGCCTTCGTTTTGCCTCAGTTTGTTAAAAAGGTAAGTGGTCGCCACGTAAAGCAGCGTCGAGACTTCGCGATGACGCGCGTCGACTCGCGACGACGCTCTACCATTGCAATAGCGCTCCGAGACTACAGAGGGGAACGCAGGCATAGGCGAGTATCACCGGGCGCTGTGTTATAAGAGAGTAGGAGAATTGAGAGGGACAATCTTCTCTGCTTACGTTCCCAACCATAGCTTTGAGGCGCCGCAATGATCCACGTGCCTTATTTGCGCCGTAGCGCGTCGACGCGCATCATCACGAAGTCTGAACACTGCTCGTGGAAAGAAATGGTGTCATTTTTCTGTGGAATGACTGAATTGTTGCAGGCTCTCGAGAAGAAGTGATGCATTCACAATAACCACATTCCTTGTTCATATGCATAGATTGTTATTGTTACTTTGCTAATAAATATAATCGCCTTTGTTATGCCATGCGGAAACTATGAATATGTCAAAAGTATGGTCCACTTAGGGACAGAGCTGAGCCGTTTGGCGCGGCACTATTCCTTACTGTCTCAGTAGGGTGCGGACACCGAGGAGGAACGAAAATTGTGTTGGCTGAGCGGGTTCGCAGCTAGCGTGCCACTTCGCGAAAAAAAAAGCACGGGAGCGGGACTGTATGGTGGTGTTACTCGGCGGCTGTGTCCGTACTCCGCCGGCGCTGCGGCGCTATTAGGCAGCGTTCATACTTCGCGACAGCAGCGGCGATCGCCGCGATCGTCGGTACGTGGCAGAGCGCGCCCCAACGCTCGCTTGATTAAATTGCGGGGAGATCCAGGGTTGTGAGGACCTCCTTTTTCCCGTTTCTCTAATACTTGGCATTGAAGCGGTGAGAAGTAATAAAAATGTAGCGCAGATGGTATCTTATCTGCTTTTATAATAAGATTACCTGTCACGTCATCAATGTCCTCATCGCCAAATCTCTAAGAATTGGTAGCGTGAATCACCTCGAACAGCGACGACTGCAATTTCTCTTATCAGCCCCTATCAGTAGTTATCGCTTCCAGTCACCCACGTTTCATCTCACCCTCTATATCACTTGCTGAGACGTACGCCTCGCTGATGCTGTGACCTGCGCTGTGAATACGATGACCTCACCATTCTAAGCCCCTTATCGAATCTTATCAGCAGCTTACAGTTCTTGTCACCCACCAATAATGTTCTTGGCCCATACCCTATATCATATCTTGGAATCAAGAGCTAGCTGATGCTGTCACCCGCGTTATGAATATGGTGACCTCCGCCTTCTAACGCCTCGAATCTTATCAACTGATATCACTTCCTGTCACCCACCAATAGTGTTCACACTACTGGTGGGTGACAGGAAGTGATATCAGACGTCACACCCACTACATCACTCCTTGAAATCAATGTCTCACTGCTACTGGGACCGGCGCTATGAATTTCGTGACAAACAGACAGACGCACACACACACGGACATAGCGGATTATATATAAAGTAGGATCCTCGACAAATCATTAGGGGACACCATGGTTGGGAGAAGGGAATACTGAAGCATGCATTCATAACTGCCTTAGGTGCGCATTCAATAGCGAAAAGCCAGCGTATTGGGGATTCGGACGAGTTATCCTGCATGAAGGACTTGACCCGGAACTTGTTATGACACGTCAATGGCAAAGCGATCGCGCCAAACGACCGCCTCCCCATCCTGAGATTGACGAAAAATTGAACTCGGATTATTTTGTAGTTCATTTCTATGGCTTGTGTATGTCGAGTGGTCTGTTAGCTGGCACGGATTTAATCGCCGTATAATGACAAATATCTCGGATGCGAATGTTTCATCAATTTTTGAAGCAAGTTAGCGACTGATTTTTTTATCGATCGAAGAGTCCGAAATTTAAAATAACGGAATTTCCATTGTTTAAATCGTTTTTCAGGTTCATCTCTAACCATAAGCACAAGCCACACCATCTGTGACCACCCCTTCGTTGAATTCGTTAGCTGAAAGCACTTCAATCCTGAAGGTGTTCAGGTATCTGGGTTGAGCCTTTCCTCTTCTCGTCTTCGTACTTAATTGAAATTTGAATTTATAGCGAGGGATTCCGATTGCCACCCTTTCGAATGAAACTAAAGGCTTTGGTAGTCAAAGCGTTTGGCTGTGCATGTAATTCTTGCTCATCATGGTCTCCTTCGCTACAAGTGCCGGGCGCTGTCGAGTGGGGTAAATGAGGAGCGAGGTGAGGCTAGGGAGCCAAGGGGAGAAGGGGTTGGCCGAGCAGGCGTTCAGCCAAGGCCCAGCCTGTTTCCATAGTAACTGATGTGGGCCAAATATACTTCATAGAATCGGACTGGGCCATGCGCAACCGCCCCTCCTCCCAGAGCAACGCACTCATGCTTTGCTGTGTATGGATGATCTCGCTTCGGCATCATTCTCTGGATGGGGTGCGTAGCAAGACAATCGTCCGGCGCCTCTTTGAAGACAGCCCCCGCAATCAAAGTGGCTCGTGGTCGCCTTTGCTGTGCAAGTAGTCTAGCCTCCAGACTAAAATAACTGTACACTTTCGTGATCATTGTTGAGCGTGGCAAGAGGCCTGCCTGATAGCCGCTCAAAGTGCTAGTTCTGAGCTCGCTCCCATCATCGAACCGCCTATTACTTGCTAGAAGTGCCCGACGAGGCCACTGCCACTGTTGGTTCTTATTGGGCGACGGCATGCCTAATCCCCTGGACTCCACTTCCTGACTGCTCTCCTTCACTACAGTTTACTCATTGGAGGTATATACATTCAATTCAACCCATTTCGCGAGGTGAAACGCGTAAAAAACACGAGTGACGCAATTTTCGTGATGCAAAACCACGACGCACAAAAGGTGCGCTACCGTAATCACAAATTCAGACACCGTGTTGATAAAATTCCTTTTTCCTTCCCAGAGTTTTCCTCTGCGTTTTTGTTGTTTTCTTTTTGTATTCTTTCTTTTGCACTGGATGATATCAACTACTGCGAGATGTGATAGAGAGACTTTGTGAGCTAGGGGTTGCACAGAGACCGCAGGGAGGTGTAACTGTGAGGGAACGTGTCTTGTCATATAGCTGCTAAACTGGAGAACGCTTCTTGCCTGTTTCCTTCTCTTGAAGATTACTTATCAGCTGCTGTTTCATAATTGGAAAGCAGCTATTCCATGAGACTTTTATCGCGGGAAGCTGTCTTTAAATGCGTGGCATAACGAGCGGCGACGTCTGCGACAATCTAACTGGCGGGAGGGGGGGGGGAAGTGTTTACAGAGGAGGAATAGGTCCCCTTCAGTTCAAAACCTCTTAGATCGCGTCCGCAACATAGCTACAGATGGCTGTTGTATTCAAAACACAGTGCAAGAAATACACATGATAGCTTACGAGGGCGAAGTTGCGGCTATGCCCACCACCACTTTCAACTGAAGATTGTTTAGGATGTATTGCTTTCCCGGATCAGTCCTGCCTCAATGATAGTTTGGGCATCTCACATCGTGTCCCGTGATCCGATTTCACCCGTCCACAGTCTGAGGGGTCTTCGCTAGCTCTAGCGACAAACGTGATCTCTCCCGATGATTTTCTGCTCGCCACCATTAGACATGTAGTGCCAAAGTCGTCACCATTATTGCAGAGCGATAGCACAATTTACTGGAAGGAAACGGCTCTTCTCGCTTTGGCAGGGTTTCTGCTCTTTTCATTTATTCTTCTGATGTGTGTATACATTGCCCCTTCCTTTTGAGATTAAGCACTTAAAAGGCGGTGAAAAATGTGCTGCATATCAGATCTCAATAAAGAAATTTTCTAGCCATCAGTTTTATGATATCCTGCCCTTAAGAGGGCAGGGGAGGGTCTTTTCTCTCAACACTATGGAATCGTGATTAACACATAGAAATGATACCAAAGTTCAACTCGCAACAGGGCTAACATGCTTATGTGAGCACTGGAAAATCGAATTCGACGCCTGTGAGGGTCGCCGTGCGAGGTCGCGCGGACGCTATTGGCCACGATCAGTTGGGTATGTATTGGTCGCTAACATAGACCACATGTATGCCCCAAAAATAGACCATAAGTGTCACCTTGTCGTTAGTCACTCCATTAATCCGATGCTTGTCCAAAAGGGATAGTGCAGATAATGGAAAGCGTCGAGACCATTGCCAAACAGCGCGACTAAGGCGGCAATTCTACGAGTCCTCTGGCCCGTTTCCCTGGCTACATCAGGCATGGAATGTCTTGACGCACCGGCAACGAGACACAGTTGTGCCGGTGCAGCCGCATAAGACAAGGAAAAGCTCCATAGCAAAACGCAATTACGCCTGAAAGAGGAACAGGGGCCTGGGCGGAGGGACAGACGCGTTTGCCTGCGATAAATGCCTCGAAAGGCGGGTATTCGAAACGCCGTCTTGGTCAAATATTTCCCATAAACATGTTCTCGGGGCGAATGTCGGCAAGAAACCGGCAAGTCGAACGTTCTGAGATGCTCGTCCCGCAGATCTGGCAATGCTTCATGAAACAGCTTCCATTTATTCCCAGAGATGTCGATCTATGTATTGATGGTTCGCTCACGATTAGGTGGCTCTCGGCTTGCAGCCGCTTCTGTAATTGGGCTCAGAGCTAGGATACTTCGGAGGGAGAAGCTGGATGAAAAGGTGAACTGCGATTTCCAGTTGTAGATGCGATGTGGCAGGCCTACTGCAGTTCCATCTCACTCGAATGCCCGTACCACCTGAACTGACTTGGAACGACAACCTACTCAGTTTTAACATTATTGTTTTCCAATGCCATTTTCCTTCAAAAAACAAAGTTACGCTCGATTCGGAATTGCCGGAAAATCTGCCCCCAACGAATTTTTCTGGAACCTTTTATATAGGGTTTCAGTTATCGAATTGTTTCCCTATCAGTATGCCATCAAATCACACGTTTTGGGCTTCACATCAATAGTTCTTCAGAGAAGCGAAGCCCATTATGTCGGTTTTCACAAAAAGGAGCGGTGTTTGATCATTATTTGAGTAGCAGTCACGTACTGTTTGCAATATCGCCAGGCCGCCTATCCTGTTGGGAGGACTGAAGACGAGTACGGCTTTGAGGGTGAATTCCAAACTGAACAAACGAATTCATAACTTGCGTGTCGATGCTCACTACGTGTGGCTAATGCCTCTAATTGTAGGTAGAAGACGGTAGGAAAAACGCAGCGCAAAGAGGAATAGGACACACTTAGAATTTTAGTAAAGTCCTCGTACCTTCACTTTTTATCATGCCAATATCAGCATGGCAGCGTGGTAGAAAACGAGCTGGATCACTTTTCAGCGGCTCCTTTCCCTCTGCAGTCAGGACGCTCGCAGCTTTCATTGCGGAGAATAGGGTAACTACCGAAACTATCCAGAGCGGGATATATACTTCGTATCCCAGAGATGGAGTGGGCGTGGCTGTCCACTTTATTTGGGCAAAGCGGCAGATGCGCTCTGAGTAAGGTTTGTCGTTTTGGAAAAACTGTGATCATGTCTTTGCCCGGCACAACGCAGAAACAGTTGTCCTTTATTGGAAGTATCCCACGAAAGACGCATTCTATGCCATGGTCAAGTAAAGTGCGCAGCCACGCCCTTTCCATCTTCGGGATATGAAGATGATGGATAGTTTTCGGGTAGTCAATTCATGATTACTGTAGGGATGATCACTGAACCAACCTTATATTCGAGGCAATGATGTGTTTGCCTTCAATCGATTTCTAGGATAAAGCTCTTCTGAATTGTATTACACGTGGATTCAAGGGCATGTTTGTCAAAAAAGACAAACGCTGTCAAATGGAACCTATTGAAAAGAGGACCAAATGGATCTGTAGAATAAACCATCCGTCCCAATAAAAGGGACGGAAAACGACGAAAGTTCGCTACAGTCAAAATGTTCCTCGCCCTGACGGTTCTGTGTATTCTCCTGTTGAATGCCAACGCACAAAGTAAGTGCTTTTGTTATACTTTGACTGTACTCATAACCATCACCCAAATGTTCGCTTGCTTACATTCACAAAACTCATCCTTCACGTTCTTATTAGAAACATGATGATTTTCAGATTGCCCTCCCGAGGGATTGCGGAAGATGTATACGAGAGTCCACGATGCTGTTAAACCTAACCTGGTTAGTTTCTTTTTTAGGCTTAGACAGGCCTCATTAAAGTAGGACCTGTTAGGCAACATGGTCTACAAGAGGAAACTAGCGAAAGTGTAAAATGCCCCCTCCAAACCGAACATAGGCCGCTGTTCTTTCGTATTCCAAATATAACCTTTCTTACTCATTTGAAATTTTGCGCGCGTTATTTTGAAGTTTGGATAGGCAGACAAATCGCGATAACCTGCCTGTGAAGCAAATAGAAGAACCCAGAAACGTGGCTGAGGATATCACATGCTCAAAACCGAAAAGTATCCGCTCGCTTATATGTTCATTCGCTACATTTTTTGAAAAATTCGTTTTTAAGGATGTGGTCGAATGCCAAATTCCCGCTGAGAACCATCAAGATGAGAAATACTCTGACAGAAGCTTTAGAAAGGAAAGATGAAAGAAGTATGGTAAGTGGTAGAGAACATTTCCTACAGGGATAAAATAATCTGTACGCCTAATTTGAAACATATGGCTTCAACAAAGCCTGGCTTGCAAGCTCGGGTTCTTTATGGACAGTCGACGGCGCCCAAGCTACGAACAATTTGTGGACAGAATGAGTAGTCCACGCAAGCCGAGGCCTCCTCTTCTGCGCAACGCGCGCAGGGTGGTTGAAATAAAGCTTGTGGTAGTGAGGTGAAAAACGAAGGAAGTGTATCAGACCGGCTGCCCGGTGTAGTACGAAAGCAAAAGAAACCGTTGAGGAAGACCTCAAATGAAACCCTACTCAGTCCCCTGAGAGAACGTGCTCGGTGGGGATTCAGGCGAGACACCAGATAAGAGCAACGAGTGGAAGAGCATGCAGAAGACTAAGACGGCAGGTAAGGGTGCTAGCATTTTGAACAAGTTCACCTGAGCAGCTTTGCCCTTTCACATCCCTATTTGGAAATTTCTGACGAGAAACTTGTCGCTAAAGAGAGCAGTATTACGGTCAAACTTCAACAGTTTTTTTTAGGTAAAAGCACTTCCTGAGAACACGAAGTTCGGGTGCTACATGAAGGATTGGGGACTCCTGATGAAAATGGTCTGCCTTTACAAGAAGAGCGATTGAAATATGTTCTGTGCCTATGCAGCCAATAAAGATTCTGCATAATCATAATCTCTTGAGCAGGTGTACATGGGTTACCGATAGTTTTGAGCATAAATTGAGAATTATGCTCGGAATTCTCGGTAAAATTATTAATTATTATCCATCATGCCATGTAGGGGCAGCAGCAGAGATTGATCAGTTGAAGACAGTTCATTGAGAACAACTTTCCGCGTCCAAGGGCCCCTTATCAAATCATATCAGATGTTATCTTCTCCTGCCACCCACAAAAAGTGTTCCCGTCCTACCATGTATATGAGTTCGTGAAACCAAGGTCCGGCAGCTGCAGCAACTTGCGCCTCAAATTCGGTCACCCTCCCTCTAAAGCTGCCTTATCGATCTCAATCAGTGTTATCAACCTCCTGTCCACACACCAGAGGTGTTCCCGTCCTACCGCGTATGTGACTTCTTGAAATCACGGTTCCACGGCCACTGCAACCTGCGCTACTAATCTGGTGACCCTCCGCGTCCAAAGGCCCCTTATCGGATCTTATCAGGATGTTATCACCTCCTGTCACGCCAACCGAAAGTGTTTCCCGCCCACACTTCTATTTCGTACCTTGGAAGCCAACTTCCATGTTGCTGTGTCCCTCTCTATAGACTCGGTCACGCTCCACTTTCTAAGGCCCCTTATCGAATCTTATCAAGTGTTATCACCTCCTGACACCCACCAAAAGTGTTCCCGTCCTGCCATGTATATCACTTCTTGGAACTGTCATCCTATCTTTTCTGCGACGCTCGCTATGAATTTCGTGACACAACACACTAACAACAGAACACGTCACACCACACCAGACACACATAGCGGAATTATATATGTAGGATAACTGGGGTACTTGGGTCTCGATTTGTTACTGTCATATCTAGGGGAGGAGTTCTGATCCTGCGATATTGTGCGGTCACTAACCCGAGAAGAGAGAGGGACTCAGGACTTTTGAGGTGTGTAGGTCCTGCTAACAGAGGTGGTTCGAAAGTTCTCATTGGTTGAGGGCTTCAGTTCTCAGTACAAAGCGCATAGTATAATATGCGTGTGGTCTAGGTGAACGGAGCCATAGCGCGTCACCGATCCGCTACAAGGAACAGAAGCGCATTTTCGTGAATGAAGAGCAGATTGCGCTTTATTGCTACCGTATACCACTTGCGCCTGTGGCGCGGGCTCCAGGAGATATTTCATATCCATGAGATATTTCATTCGACTGCAGAGAATGCAGTCGAAATTGATAGCGCTGATGTGGCAGCCTTATAAAAGTTCTTGAGGTGCGCTCGACTCTCTCCTTCTTTCACTAGTTCCCTCGGCACTATTTATCTTTAATTGCCCCAGTCATCCGAAATCGGCAATTTTATGACTGACTGGCGAAATTGGCTGAAAATTCTCCCCTGGGGTATTTTGACCTGTTGAAGAAGAATATCACATGCGCTCTGCACGGAATCTCCTGGGGCCCGAACCACAGGCGCAACTAGTATTCGGCAACAATGAAGCGCAACCTGCTCTTCATGCACGAAAATGCGCTACTGTTTCTTGTAGTGGATCGGTAACCTATGGCTTCGTTCACCTGAGCCACAAGCATACCATACTATGGGCTTGTACAAGTGAAGCCCTCATCTAATGAGAACTTTCAAACCATCTCTGCCAACGGGAACTCCACACCTCGAAAGTCCTGAGTCTTTCTCTCTTCTCGGGTTAGTGACCGCACAATACCGCAGGATCAGAACTCCTCCTCTAGATGTGATAGTAACAAAGTCGAGACATACCCTCAGTTATTAGACGTATGATTAGATAGTTAGTCGATATTGTGAGTGTGGCGTGAAGATAACTACTACATATGGCGCAGTTCCAGGTAATGCAAACATCAAATGTTGTGGTCAACAAAGCGGTCAGAACTTTCGCTTCAAGTGCTTAAAGCAAATATGAACGTTTATTTGATCCCTTCTTGTGCGGATAGGTGAGAGTGCAATTTTTCTCGAAAGTATTCACAGGGCTCAATAAGGAGCAGAATAGGGCCCTGTAATGTTTGAACTGACACGTAAAACTACTCTCCAAGTGTTTAGCATGCGTTTCAGTAAGATGGAAAACAAGGCAGAACATCAAGGAGTCAGACCCTGGTCCTACACTACGAAACCGCCACTCACCTGCTACGCCATGGAGCCACAGTTGTGGCTGTATTACGAGGGGTTCACAAGCACAAAATACATGGGTAGGGGCCGCACGCGACAAGTGGGTTAAGCACGGCATCAAAAAAGGTCCGTAACTCCCTTTCCCTAGAACCGTTCACAAACGGCAGCTTAAGGACGTCAGACTTGACATCACGCTAAATATGTTCTAGGCGTGTACACATCCCATATTGAATGGCCATGACATTCACACCAGCGTACAGCAAGGACCGATGCGCGGAGGTGGGCGCACAGTTAATTTCATATAGAACCCCCTATATATGCAAGCTTAACCTGCGACGTTTCAACAACATTCGTCTCCATTGTACATTTGAAGTTGAAATAGGTCATTTCAATCAACGCGTCTCAGAAAAGAATACTGGTTAGGAACTTTGCCAGGGTCGTTTCTTCTCGTTAATTCTCCGAGAGAGCCGGATGTTGCTCTCCTCCGTGGATTGGATCTCCACAACAGTACGGAAATTTTTGAGATTCATTCAGGTTTCCTTTCACTGAGATACCTCCTTCCTCAGTAGCACACCCTTTTGTATGCTACCCCTGGCTCGGGATTCAATTGGGTTTGTGTAAATGGGACCTATGTCAGCCACCATGACGGGACTGGTAGGTGCCGTCTGGCATGTCAGAGGAAGCATTCAGCACTTTCGCTTCTTTCGACGTTTTCATTGCTTTACAGCAGTCAGCAGGTATGCTTGAGCAGGATTGACAACACTGGGTCGCTACAAACGGGCAAGAGCATCGTATTTTGCCGCTCCTGCGTGCGCGGCGATGGGCGCGGCGTTTTCGTCACCCGTGCTGAACTGTCGGCAGGCCTTCATGTAGACCCCGTTCTCGTAGACACTCACGGCTATTTTCAATTCTGACTCGCCTGCTGTCGTCATCTACTTCCTGGACTCATCTTCATTTCGGGCGCAACGTCACACGCGACGCCCGCCACCTCGGCTGAAGTTACAATTCTCTGCCAGCATATCTCCAAAATACAGTTGAATGGTGGTCACTTTCAATGACGCACACACTTGTGGCTTGGGATCGATAGAATTGTATCGAATGTGAAAGCCTCTGCTCGCCTCAATGCCGACAAATGCCCGAGGCCGAACCCTCTATCAGCTGAAAGAAAATCGAGAGAGCATGGTTCGAAGAGAGCAAGTTGTTCTCAATGAACTGTCTTCAACTGATCAATCTCTGCTGCTGCCCCTACATGGCATGATGGATAATAATTAATAATTTTACCGAGAATTCCGAGCATAATTCTCAATTTATGCTCAAAACTATCGGTAACCCATGTACACCTGCTCAAGAGATTATGATTATGCAGAATCTTTATTGGCTGCATAGGCACAGAACATATTTCAATCGCTCTTCTTGTAAAGGCAGACCATTTTCATCAGGAGTCCCCAATCCTTCATGTAGCACCCGAACTTCGTGTTTTCAGGAAGTGCTTTTACCTAAAAAAACTGTTGAAGTTTGACCGAAATACTGGTCTCTTTAGCGACAAGTTTCTCGTCAGAAATTCCCAAATAGGGATGTGAAAGGGCAAAGCTGCTCAGGTGAACTTGTCCAAAATGCTAGCACCCTTACCTGCCGTCTTGGTCTTCTGCATGCTCTTCCACTCGTTGCTCTTATCTGGTGTCTCGCCTGAATCCCCACCGAGCACGTTCTCTCAGGGGACTGAGTAGGGTTTCATTTGAGGTCTTCCTCAACGGTTTTCTTTGCTTTTCGTCTACACGGCAGCCTGTCTGATACACTCTTCTGTTTTTCAACCTCACTACCCACAAGCTTTATTTCAACACTTCAGCTGGCGCGTTGGCCAGAAAGCAGGAGGCTCGGGGGCTTGGGACTACTCATTCCTCGCCACAAATTGTCCGTAGCTTGCCCCACTTCCCACATAAAGAACGAGTTGGCGGCAAGCCACGCGTTTTATTTGTTTTCGTTGTCTTTGTAAAGCCATATGCTTTTGCCAAAATTAGGCGTTACAGATTATTTTATCCCTGTAGGAAATGTTCTCTACCACTTACCATACTTCTTTCATCTTTCCTTTCTAAAGCTTCTGTCAGAGTATTTCTCATCTTGATGGTTCTCAGCGGGAATTTGGCATTCGACCACATCCTTAAAAACGAATTTTTCAAAAAATGTAGCGAATGAACATATAAGCGAGCGGATACTTTTCGGTTTTGAGCATGTGATATCCCTCAGCCACATCTGGGTTCTCTATTGCTTCACAGGCCAGTATCGCGATTTGTCTGCTCCAAACCTGAAAGTAAAGCTTCAAAATAACGCGCAAAATTTCAAATGAGTAAGAAAGGTTATATTTGGAATACGAAAGAACAGCGGCCTATGTTCGGTTTGGAGGGGGCATTTTACACTTTCCGCTACGTTTCTCTTGGTAGAACCAATGGTTGCCTGACAGGTCCTACTTTAATGAGGCCTGTCTAAGCCTAAAAAAGAAACTAACCAGGTTAGGTTTAACAGCATCGTGGACTCTCGTATACATCTTCCGCAATGCCCTCGGGAGGGCAATCTGAAAACCACCATGTTTCTAATAAAAACGTGAAGGATGGGTTTTGTGAAATGTAAGCAAGCGAACATTGGGTGATGGTTATGAGTACAGTCAAAGTATAACAAAAGCACTTACTTTGTGCGCTGGCATTCAACAGGAGAATACACAGAACCGTCAGGGCGAGGAACATTTTGACTGTGCAAACTTTCAGTCGTTGTCCTCCCTTTTATTGGGACGGATGGTTTACACTATAGATTCATTTGGTCCTCTTTTCAATAGGTTCCATTTGACAGCGTTTGTCTTTTTTGACAAACATGCCCTTGAATCCACGTGTAATACAATTCA